ACAGGAATCTGCACAGTAGGTGATTTTATTCCTTCACAACTAATGTATATGTATACCCTACTTCTTTTGCATTATTTATGCTTTGTTTGGTACGATGGAAAAATAAAAAGATGAAAAGTTAGAGGGATAGATAAAATATTATCTATAGTAAGGAAAAAAATAAGAAGGATGAAAAGTGGATAATTTTTTGTGTATATTAGTTAGTGTGTGTGTGTTTACATCTTAGTGTATGCATGTTATTTGTGAGGTATTAGTATTTGTGTTTGTGTTTTTACATATTAGTGTCTATATTTTGGTGTAGTAGTTTGTGCATTTTGATATACAGTAAATATAATAAATTTTTAACATAAAAGTGATTTTAGAGAAGTAAAAAGTTTTTTTTTTTCTTTCATTTGTACTTATTGGCATATTTAAGAGGTGAAATTACTTTCGACTTATCTAAAAGTAATTTTAATAAGGATTACAAACGCTACTTTTTTTTTTCTTTTTAAACTCTGTGAGTGTAGTATTCAACAATGCCTGTCCCAAGTCAGGATAAAGGAGGACGGTTGGGTTAGATAGCTAACAGCCATTGTAAAACATTGTTGGATTCATTATGATGAGTCCAAACAATGATATATGTTCTAATGCTAGATCGTTCTGCATAAGTGACACGTTGTGCCTGCCACGGGGTGTTTCGAAAAATCAATTAGGAGCGTTGAGCCTGCCTTGGGGCGCCACATAGGTATGATGATAAATGGGCAAGGGTTTCTGTGCCATGGGCAAACGTGGGGTGTAAGGAAGCTAGTTCACGATGATAAACTTAAATTAGCAACATAGAACATAGGTACATTCATTGGAAAAATAATGGAATTAGTGGACACTATGAGCAAGAGAAAAATTAGTGTAAATGCTTAAAAGAAGTGGATAGGTGAGAAGACAAGGGGAATAGAAAATACAGAATTTAAGATTTAATATATAGGAAAGGATAAACGAAGAAATGGAGTAGGAATAGTTGCAGATAAAGCCCTAAAGCGTAGTAGCAGTTATAACGAAAGGAGATAGGATAATATCTATCAAACTTGTAGTCGAAGAGAATATAATTAATGTGATTAACGCTTATGCACCCCAAGTAGGGTTAGAGGAACATATTAAAAAGTAATTTGGGGAGCAAATAAATGAATTAGTTCAATATATACTTATAGGGGAAAAAAGAATGATAAGTGGAGATTTCAATGGACATGTAGGAAAAAATATGACACAATATGAGAGGGTTCCTGGTGATTATGGATATGGTGATTGAAATGAAGCTGGAGAGAATATTTTAGAGTTTGTAATTCCATATGACCTTGTAGTGGCAAACACCTTATTTAGAAAACGAGAACATTTAATAATCTTTAAGAACGGACCGATTAGCATGCAAAGATTGTAAGGTTATCTCGGGAGAGAACTTAACATCTCAACATAGGCTAACAATCCTAGATTTATATATTAAAGGGTAACATAGAGTAAGGAGAAACATTAGAAAAACAATAACGAGATGGTGGAATATAAAAGGTGAGAAACTAGTACTATTTAGGAGTAGAATGCTTGAAGATGTCTTATGAAACCTAGAGGATGAGACTAACGTTATGTAGAGTAGGATGATAGAACACATTAGAAAATTTTTGTAAGAGATTCTTGGGGAGTCAAAGGGTAAAGAGCTTGTAGGAAAAGAAACTTGGTGGTAGAATGACGACATATAAGAGGTAGTTAAAGTAACGAAAGAATCCTTTAAGAGATGGAAAAATGATAAAAATAGAGAGAACTTCCAAAGATATAAATTAACTAATAAAGAGGTTAAAAAGATAGTTAGAGACGCTAAGTTAAAAGCCTACAAGGAGTTGTACAAAAAATGAGATGGTAAAGACGTAAAAAAAGACATCTATAAACTAGTTAAAATTAGAGAAAGAAAAATAAGAGACTTTAACCAAGTTAAGTTCATCAAGGGTGAGGACTCAGTTTTTAGTTAAAGGTAAGGAAATAAATGATCGGTAGAAAGAATTTTTTGAGAAACTATTAAATGAAAATCACTTAGGAAATCTAGAAAAGATAGAAAATGGTAGGATTGGTAAAACGTTCTTTCATACAATAAAGAATTCGGAGGTAAAGTTTGTATTGAAGAAAATGAAATTAGACAAGGCTTTAGGACCAGATGAGATTCTAATTGAAGTTTGGAAGTGCTTAGGGAATGAGGGGGTGTCGTGGCTAATGAAATTAGCCTAATGAATGGAGAAAGAGTATTTTAGTACCTATCAATAAAAATAAAAGAGATATTCAAAACTGTAATATTTATAGAGGGATAAAATTGATGAGTCATATAAAGAAATTATGGGAAAGGGTCGTTGAACGTCATTGAAGAGTTGAGACTACAGTGTCAAAAAATTAGTTTGGGTTTATGTTGAGTAGTTCAACTATGGAGGCTATATATTTATTGAGGATACTAAATTAAAAAGTATAGAGAGAAGAAGAAAAATCTTCATATGATATTTATAGATCTAGAAAATGCATATTATAAAGTACCTAGAAATATAATATGGAGGGGGCTTGAGAGAAAAGGAGTAGTGAATAGGTATATTGAGGTGGTAAAAGATATGTGTGACAGGGCTATGACTATAATTAGATCTTCTGTGAGAGAAAGTAAATAATTTCCAATCCCGGTGGGATTATACTAAGCATTGGCCCTAAGTTCATACCTATTCGCCCTAATTATAGATGAACTCACTAAGCACATTCAAGATGATGTTCTACGGTGTATGCTATTTGCATATAATATTATATTAGTAGATAAAACTCGAAGGGAGATTAACAAAAAATTAAAAATTTGGAGAGAGACACTCGAGTCAAAAGGGTTTAAAACAAGTTAGAGTATGACTGAATATATGTAATAAAGATTTAATAATAGAAGAAGTAGACATAGTGAATAAGTTAAGATTGAAAATCAAGAAATACCAACTACTAAATAATTTAGATATCTAGGATCGATCATTAAAAATGATAGAAAGATTGGAGATGATGTAACGTATAGAATCAACGACGGTTGGCTTCAGTGGAGGAAAGCCTCTGGTACATTATGTGATAAAAAAATACCAATAAAATTGAAAGATAAATTTTACTGAACAGCTATAAGGACAACAATGTTGTATAAAGACAGAATGTTAGGCAATTAAAAAACAACATAGTGACACAATGAGTGTCGCAAAAATTAGAATGTTAATGTGGATATGTAGAAAAACTAGAAAAGATAGAATATGAAATGATCGTATTAGAGAAATGGTAGGAGTAGTTTTAATTGAGAATAAACTAAGAGAATAGATTAAGATGGTTTGATCATATTCAACGGAGGCTGATAGAAGCACCGGTTCGAAAAAGTGAGAGAATTTCTTTTAATGGTACTAATAAGGATAGATCTAAATTAACATTGAACAAAATAATAAAAAAATATTTAACTTAAAGGAGCATACAGCGCATGATCGAAATGAATGGCGAAAACGAACTCATATAATCAACCCCAAATGATTGGGACGTAGGTTTGGTTTAACAAACGTTATTTTTTTTGTTTAAAGTACTTGTGAAAAAAGTAGTAAGTACAAAGAGCACTTTTCATAAGTCATCCTAGCTTGTTTGTCAGCAGTTCTTGAACATACATTCTTGTTAAATTCGTTGACTATGATATATGTTTTAGATGCACGGATAATAACTTTTGTTCTCTCTTTCCTGAAAGTTAGTATGAAATTGTTTTGGCGTTAATTATCAAAAAGAGAACTTGGTGGTGTATTTGATCGGTGTATTGAAAAATTTAATACCCAGTTAGATTGCCTTGACTATGGTATAAGTTGGGATCAACTGCCTGATGTGGTTGTGGATGTTAAGCATTCAAAAGCATATCTCATCAACATACAAATATTGCAGTGAATGAGTTGGTTGGATTGCTTAGCCGAGTTCAATATCTGCTGGCTAATCAATATCTTCTATGGAAAGAGGTGTGCTCACAATCCTTATTTCTATATGATATAGTAAGATATTATGANGTTGGATTGTTTAGCCGAGTTAAATATCTGCCGGCTAATCAATATCTTTTATGGAAAGAGGTCTGCTCACGATCCTTGTTTCTGTATGATATAGTAAGATATTATGATTTTTTAAGAGTGTGACATTTATGTTGAATCATTTGTTTTGCATTCTACCAGCAAAATTATATGAAGATTGATGGAAAGCAGGTATTATTTCAATCTCTAGTGTCTGTAAATTGTGTTCATTTTGCTTCCTGAATTTAATTACTTCTACTGTTATTAATTTTCTTTGAACTATTCTAGAAAAGTTAGTTAATAGTCTTTTATTTGATGTGGTTTTGGATATTAAGCATTCAAAAGCCTACCTCATCAACATACAAATATTGCAGTGAACGAGTTAGTTAGATTGCTTAGCTAAGTTAAATCTCCTACTAATCAATATCTTCTATGGGAAGAGATGTGCTTACAATCCTTGTTCGTGGATGATATAGTAAGATGTTGTGATATATGTTGAATCCTTAGTTTTCAATTCTACCAGCAAAATTATACAAAGATTGGTGTAAATCAAGTATTATTTCAATATCTAATCTCTGTAATTTGTGTTCATTCTGTTTCCTGAATTTAACCCCTTCTAATGTTATTAATTTTCTTTGAAATGGTCTGAAATTTTAGTTCATAATCTTTTATTTGATGTCCTATCAAGGTACCTAAAAGTAGTGAAAAATAAAGGTAGCATCAAACTCAATCTTCTTTCGTATCATTTATTGGCCTCCATTTATTAGTGCCATTACCTTGCATATTTACTCCTCTTCTTGAAGCAAATCTGTATTGTATATACCTTCTTGCAGTTGATGGAGTTGGAGATTATAACCTTTGGGAGTGATAGCAAAGAGGGTCGCTTTCTGCATGGTGGATCTGAGTGATTGGTTTATTCAGTCCGAATAGTTTGATAAGGGTGCATTTCTTTCAATGGCCTTAAAATCTAATATCAAAGGTTCTGTGGAAAAGCAGAGTAAAACTACTGGTAGTCAAGCATTAGAAGGAAATTGTCGCAGGCCTTCACCTTTGCAGGTTTCCAGGACCTGTATATCAGAGCCCACCACCCCAAAGAAATTAGCCAGCCATGTTCAAGAAGTTCCCTTTAAGCAGGTTACCGTATAAGCAACAGTGAACAAAAACTCACAGGATTTTCAGCAAAAGGGGCCTGCTAATTATTTAGGTGATAAATTAGATTTAAGCTTATCTTTGGGTGATTCGAAACAAGTACCAACAAGCATAAATCCTACACCAAGTGAAACGAGAGGCTCAGTTGATCAGGAAAAGAAAAGAGCAGAGCATAGAACTGTCAAGGATTGCTCAGCCTCTGCCAAGGTCAGCGATGGAGCCAGCAGCCTTGCAAAAACTAGCAGAAGTGCCAAAATTAGTGATCGAGCTGATTTTGTTGAAAGTGGCAAGAGCAGCATGTGCAGGGGTAGCACAAGCAGTGATGTAAGAAATGAAAGCACTTGTAGCAGCTTGAGTAGCAGTATTAACAAACCTCATAAAGCCAATCACTCAAAATGGGAGGCCATTCGAGCTGCCCGAGCAAAAGATGGGGTCTTAGTTTTGTGTCACTTCAGATTGCTGAAGAAGTTGGGCTGCGGGGATATTGGTAGTGTCTATCTTTCAGAGTTGAGTGGAACAAAATGTTATTTTGCCATGAAGATCATGGACAAAGCATCACTAGCAGGCCGTAAGAAGTTGCTTCGCGCACAGACAGAAAGAGAGATTCTGCAGTCTTTGGACCATCCCTTTCTTTTGACCTTATATTCCCATTTTGAGACAGACAATTCTCGTGTTTGGTGATGGAGTTCTGTCCCGGAGGTGACTTACATACACTTAGACAGAGGCAACCAGGAAAGCATTTTTCTGAACAAGCTGTAAAGTATGAATCTCATTCCTGCTGATAATGTTAATATGTTTAATCTTCCATAGAATTGTGTGAACTCCTAAAAGAAAATCTTTTTTGTAGGAAGCAAGAAAATATTATTAATGATAAAAATGAAGAGTACAAAGAGGACTAGGAGTCCTCGAAATACCTGAAATCAATTCCTCTTCTCCTGAAATTCTAGTAGATGTTTAAATGGGAGTTATAAGGAGAGAGTTATGAAGTGTCCTTAAAGTGTTCTTAAAATTACCGAAGAAACTGTAGAATTCTTAATATATTTTTGTCAAAAACAGTACATGATTGTCACAAGCAGGAGACAAAGGAAGCTTCAGGGTCATTTCTGTCCTGAATAAATTGTAAGAATGATTGATGATCTTAACCTATTCTTGTAGACCATTCTGTCAACCTGCATTGTGCTCCAAGTTTTGATATCATGACTTGCTTATCATTTGAGTTAATTAGAAAGAGCAATTGATGATCGGAACCTATTCTTGTAGACCTTCCTATCAACCTGCACTGTGCTGCAAGTTTTGATATCATGACTTGCTTATCATTTGAGGAAAAAAGATCATATACTTATGTGGGGCTTTGGATTTGGTCCTCTTTCCCTTTAACTTATAACTTTAGTATACCCCCCCCACGTTGTAATCAAGACCTATTATCCAGGCCATTTTCCTTGTTGCTGTATTTTGTCCTGTCACATGGCTTTTGAATGATGGAGAGAGAGTATACAGCTTTGGTTGTGGTTCACATCAATGCATGATATTTGAACAAGAATATGGATAGGAACTTTCATGGAAGCACTGCATAGAGGCAGACACATTTCATTGGTGGGTTGATGCTGCAATTGGTTAATATGTATCTAGCATCACCTATGAACATGTACTCAAAGAGGACTTCATTCTGTCCTCATTCATTCTAAAGACTATCCCTTTAGGTGTTAATAATGCCCATGGAACGTGTTTGACATTTCCAGTTTGGATTAGGTTTGTTGAGTGCGCCTGATGTACCGTAGTTGTATATGTTGTAGCTGAATCCCTTTATGGTACATGTGCATTCATGCATACAGCCGGCTATAATTGTTGTGCTAAGTTGTGAACTGCACCTTTTTCCTTGTAAGTTAGTTCTTTCAGAGTTTGGTGTATCTTTTATTTGCATTCACAAGTGGAGAAATGGTATTATAGTATTTGGTTTTTCTATACAATCAGTTTAGTTTTTGGGTAGTTTTTTTTGTGATTATATAATGCCCTCCTTTTGGGTGGCCCCTCTTATATGGAACTCCTTTTTTGATCGAGAGAAATGGTACTTTCAAGCAAAAGTGGAGAAGATATTAAAGTAGCATTTCTTGAATGCAATATGTATGGAAAAAATTGATACTTTAAAAAAAGAGAGAGAAAAACGGATAGTTGTAGCATGTTTTTGCTGTCTTGGAATAAGGTTTAATTAATACTAAATAGTGCCTATAGCAGTTGGTCAAGACGAAATAATCAGGCATATACAACATTACTCATGCATATAGTGGAATATCTTAAGACAAAGGATTAGTCATAAGAGCTCGAGGTGTCCAATTTGAATCTTCATTCAGAACCAAACTATTCTCAATGCATGACTATACTTATACATAATCCTTGCACTATGCAGATGAGTTTTTTGTACTCCATCTCTCTGTCCCTCACCCCTGCAAATTTCCCTCCCAGTGTGTACACATAATTTAATGTAAACAGGACTCTCATCTTTCCTTTTGCTACAGGTAAGTGTTCTCTTTGTGCTTTGTTTTTGTCCATGGAGGCTACAAGGTGCTTATTTGTTGAAAATAAGTTCAGCTGTAAACTTCTCTGCTCGAGTTCATACATATTTTACTTTCGGGAAAAAAATATGTACATTGTTCAAGGTTGAAAGCCAAAAAGCAGGGAAAGTAACCTTGTCTCTGTTTCGAAAAAGCTTCTTGCTTTCTGTCTCTTCTCTTTTTGGCCAGTAGGAACTGATGCATTTCAAGATTAAGCTTTGTTGTCCCTTGATGCTTAGAGATTGTGCATGTGCTGTTTAATATTATACCGGGTAATGGACAAGTTACTTTGTTAGGCAACATGGATCTTCTGAGTTTTGAGCATATATGTTATTTGTCCTCACACTAAATGATAAAATCTCTCAAATTTCAAAATGCAGGTTCTATTTAGCAGAGGTCCTCCTTGCTTTAGAATACCTCCACATGCTTGGGATTGTGTGCCGTGACCTCAAGCCTGAAAACGTCCTCGTACGAGAAGATGGACACATAATGCTTTCTGACTTTGACCTTTCCCTCCGCTGTGCTGTCAACCCAACACTTGTCAAGTCATCATCCCTTGAGACTGAGCCCTTAAGAAAGAACCCTGTATATTGTGTCCAACCTACTTGCATTGAGCCCTCTTGTATTCAGCCATCCTGTGTAGCCCTTACAACGTGTTTTGGCCCTCGCTTGTTTTCAAGTAAATACAAGAAAGACAGAAAACCAAAAAATGAAATTGGAAACCAAGTCAGCCCATTGCCGGAGCTTATTACTGAGCACACACAAGCACGGTCAATGTCTTTTGTTGGGACCCATGAATACTTGGCCCCTGAAATCATCAAAGGTGAAGGGCATGGGAGTGCCGTGGACTGGTGGACTTTTGGGATCTTTTTGTATGAGTTAATGTTCGGCAAGACTCCCTTCAAGGGATCTGGAAATCGTGCCACTCTATTGAATGTTGTGGGTCAGCCACTGCGATTCCCTAAATCACCCGTTGTCAGTTTTTCTACAAGGGATCTTATAAGAGGCTTGTTAGTAAAAGAGCCACGGCACAGATTGGCGTACAAACGAGGTGCAACAGAGATCAAACAACATCCCTTCTTTGAAGGTGTGAATTGGGCATTGATTCGTTGTGCAAGTCCTCTGGAGATTCCCAAGCCAGTTGAGGTTGAGCGAATTCCAGCTCCAACAGCATCTACTAGTGAAAAAGCTACTGTTGGAACTACCCCCAATCATAATAGTTCTAATAATTATCTCAAATTCGATTTCTTTTAGCGGTTTTTAGAGCTCGTTTGCTATAATTTTTCAATAAAAGGAAAAATGTGTAGTTCCTAAACGTTACCGATATGCCGGATTCAGGATTCTTGTCTTGGCAGTTGATGATCATAGTGTTATTTGTTGTTAGTGTTGGACAGTTACAAATTCGTTGTATGGCAAAAGTTGATGTGTTTTATGCTATCAGTTCATAATTGGAATTCGGCCATTGGTCTTTTAATGAAATGATCAAAGATGATGCATGGAATGTGTTTTGGTGTTTTTGTCAGCAGAACATTTCATGGAAATTGTGTTGTCATTGATCAGTTTGATTCTTGTTAATCGTGGGAGTTGCGAGATATAGATGGTGGGTACATACCTAACATTGGGCATCATTAAACTAGTTCATATGCCAAGTTATAGTTTTATAAGTTGATGAGTTTTGAGTTGCTGAGAGGATAGATTTCTTGGGGCTGAAGCATGGACACAGAAGGAACGGGTGGCATCCTAATCTGTGGTGGAGGGGGAACTCCTGTCTCTTGAGATGCCCCAGGAACAGGTGTCTGAACAACAGGTGGAGTCGTCACCTATTGGGAGCTCTCAGGAGCATGATCCGGCCTCGCAATTGTACATCTTCTTTCATGCATCAATCCAACATCTTCTTTCATGCATCGAATTTGGATTTATCTCTATCTGATTCAATATTACACCAATTCAAACTGTATAAGATTATATGTCAATATATTATGTAATTTAGTAATTATTTGATAATATTGAGTTGAATTCTAGTGTAATTTATTAAATAAACTCTAATTAATTTATTAGAATTGATTATTCAAATAATTTTCAAATTTGTCAAATCAAATTCGAATTCATGAACTATACAAATTTAATCCATTAAAAAGCCTACCTAAAGGGGGAAAGGATATGTGTCAACTAGCAATAACCCGTGTGATTAGGACACATTGCAATAAATTTTGAACGTCCTAAAAATTGATCTTATTATATCAAAACAAAAATCTAAAATTATATAATTTAAAATTAATTTCTATCCATTATTTTTTGAAACAAAAATCGACAATACATGACGTGGTCTAGCAAAGAGTTCAGCTGAAGAAGAATAGCTCACAAGTTAGATAGAATTCTGGTTGACCATGAGATTGTTACTCTTTTTTTCGAAGCTAAAGTTATTACTGGTATTGATGGACTCGTTGACCATGCCCCAATAGGTATTATTCAGTTGAATCACTGAGTGCAACACAACCATAAACCTTAAAGGTTTATTAATGAGCAGTCTAATCATCACAACTTTCTCCGAACTACTTAAAAAAATATCAACATGTGTACACTATTGTATATAAATAATATTCAAAATATAAATTAAATTTTGAGCCAAAAATTAATCAAAAATTAAATGACTCAACTTATAACATAAATAAGTGATGTGATAGAAATGAATAGGGATAAATTCAAATTTTGACTACTTTTTATTAGCTAATTTTTGGCACTAGGCTGACGCACCAGTTAGATCTAGGTATTTTGAAATTAATTAAGACAATTTAAATGATGAACTTTTGCGAAAATCAAATATACCAAAAAAAAAAATGAGTATATAAGATAATTTATTTGTGAGGTTAGTATTGGGTTGCTAAAAAGATCATAATGATTGGACTTAAGATTGTTGAATATGATGTAATTTTTAACAATTTTATTTTGAATATTTTTATAAAATTTGAATAGGACTGTCAATAATTGGTATAGTTTCTTCTTTTTTGGAGTGTAAGTCATATCATATAAAAATATGTTCATATTAAATTGAGTTCGTGTCATGTTTAACCAAATTCATGTCGATCTATTTTTTTAGAGGTCAAATGAATCTATCTGTTTACCATTTGAACT